GCAGAATTTTTCAGATAGCGATAGTACATGATGACGTTTATTATATATAAAAAATATAAAATATGTCATCAAATAATTTGTCGATCTGAAAAACCCACAATTTTGCAAAGTGGGGTAAAATGAGGGAAAATGTATTTAAGGAGAACAGAGAGCTTTCTGTAATATCATAAATCGATCTTTGATCACAATGATATCATTGATGATAATGATTGATGATGATGCTGATGTTGATGCTGATGCTGATTTGATGCTGATGTTGATGCTGATGCTGAGTTGATGCTGATGTTGATGCTGATGTTGATGCTGATGCTGAGTTGATGCTGATGCTGAGTTGATGCTGATGCTGAGTTGATGCTGAGCTGATGTTGATGTTGATGCTGATGTTGCTCATGATGATTCTTTTCTTCTTTTCTTTGCTTTTTTTTCTTTTCTTTTCTTTTCTTTTCTTTCGTTTTTTTTTTTTTTGGTTAAAAGGGCGTGGGTTTCTTTTATTTTATTCGTTTTTTTTTTTTTGGTTAAAAGGGCGTGGGTTACCTGTTGAGCATTATACAATATCTTCGAATAGAATATTATTAATGTCGGTCAAGATATAATATTAAGATTCAAATTTTTTTTGCGCGTAAATAACTTTAAGATATCAAATTGATATTAAAAGTATAACGATAACGTTTGCGTACTCGATCTGCTGGATCAATAATGAAAGCCTTAATATATTTGCAGTGTGATGCACAAGTTTTTCTGTGAATTTCGATCCACTGATATTTGTAGCTGTATTTTAGAATTAAATACAAGTTTCGTAATGCATTTTAATGTAAATATAATCTGAATCTATTTTTGGAAAGCTTGATTGAATCAGAGTAACTTGTTTACATTTTAGATCTTTATCTCGTTTATAAACTCTCATGTGATTTGCTTTGAATTTTGTATTTGTAACCGTGCAATAATGCCTTATAAATCTTTCCAAAATCTCGTTAGTAAGATTTTAACATCAAAAGGGATCCATTCAAAGAATTATAGATTTTTTGAATTAGTTTACGGATTATAAATTACATTGTTTTACTTTTGATTATGCTTCATTTATTTATCATTTTGAATCAAAAATAATTTTTTATTTCTGCAATGACCTCTATAATTTTTTATCGATTGTAAAATCTAACCTTCTCTTCTATTATCTGTTTATATACGCACAGAAGCTTTTGTTTCGTAGGAGTAAGAAATCTAATACAAGGGGATCGGGAAGAACATTTAGATACTTGAAACTATGTTATGGTAAAAGACAATGTAACTCAAGATTGATTATGCATGTGCCCCGGCTGAATATTCAGCACATTCCCAAATTCATCGTGGGTGTCAAATTCGAACTAACAATTAATCATCTAAGTTAGAAATTTTGACACGTTGATAGAAAAGATGATTAGGTTGTACCTCAGTACTAGAATTAAAAGATCGGTTACTTGTTACTTTATCCAAAACGTGATTGAATATGCGACCTCAATAACAAGGTTTGGCCAAGGTTCATTCTGAAATCGTGAAAGCATGAATCTTAGCTTTGAAGCAATAGAAAGAAAAGTTGACCTTTCAATCACTTCCCGTTAGTGCAGGCACTTGTGGTTCGGTGAGCGAAACGACACGTCGGCTTCTTTTCCAGAATTATCACTACGGGTTTCTTTAAGAAGCAAATATTAGTTCGATGTTATAAACTCGTAAGTGTCAATTATTAACTTTCTCAGTTCTTAGATTTGTAAACTCGGCATCGGTCCCATCAACACTAATGCAAGCACTACTTATCATTTTAGAAATCACACCAATAGTGACTTTATGTGGTTTTGATTAAAGTTCATAAATCACGACTTTATAATCGGACCATTCCCATAGATAATATTCCTCTAATGTAACTCCGTCAGCGAGCGTGTATGGAAATCTTGATGTAATCAGCGAAAATTAGCTTATATCATAAACTATTCAGTCCTTTTGAACGACGGATTCGTTTGTACAAGTACCTTATGTTGCTCTAGTTATATAATGCATAAAACTAATTTGATAACAGAAGTATAAAACTCACGGATTTATTAATTAACGTTAATCTAGCATAACGATGATAATGGTATATAAAATTCATGAGGTTTGAAGCGAAGTTAGAAACCACACACCTCTTGACACTGGACTGCTAACGTTAGACGTAGAGCTATAGTCGTACAAGGTTATCATTTTTTTGGTTTTGCAATATATGAGGAAAGAATTTGTGGTTTTGAAAGATGTACAAAATTGATATTTATTACGAAGGCAGATTACGCAAACTATTTCTTCTAGCACTTTCGGCTGGTACACATGACTAGAGATGGGCAAATCGGCGTATCGATCATAGGACATGTCCAGAAAAATTTGAACAACTGCTGCTCATTAATGATCGGCACCGCCACACTTCAGTGGATTTTCATTTACTTGACCAATGGTACAAATAAAAACAGCGCACTTGAAGGTATAGTTTGTAGTAATTCAGAGTGTTCATTCATAGAGCCATAGGGTTTTGAGCCAAAGAAAGTTAACTAATCATGAATTGCGTGTAATAAAACCCATACTTCAGGTGCAACAATGAAAACGATCAAGATGATATTAATATCGATAAGATTTTGGTGATGTGGTCAAATTACATATAACTCTTTCAATCAAATCAATGTACTAACGTTAACAATAAATCTTCACTTTGGCAATCCAGAGATGTTCATGGAACTTATGAACTTTACGTTTGTTAAGACGCGTACTCAATTATAATATCGATATTGTTATCGTTATCCAACCACCACTTCACTTCGATGATTACTCATGTTTTGGTTTTATGGACATTTCTTACTAATACTACTTAGTACATGTATATGGCTTAGCGTGGTGGTGGTTACCGTTACGGATTGCTGTAGACAGTCGTGAGGTAATGGAGTTCAATTCCCTCCTAAGTCTAAGTGCGATGTGGACTTATAGATATATTTTATTCTTTTAAGACTGCACGATCAATCTCAAAACGATGAGGATCAGCAAGAGGAACATTGTGGTTAAAAAGTTCAGAGATGACGCTTTGGGTGGAACTGATTTTTCATTTTTTTTCACTGTTGGGAGGTTTCTTTTACAGCCAAATAATTACGCCACTTTTTGCTAAGATGCTCAGGACAACCTGGACATTTAAGCGCTAAGTGCGTCTCAAGTTCGGCCGGTCTTCCATGACTCTATTTGGCTGGGCAATGGTAACAAGAAGCTGGATAATGACCGAAGACCTTGTCAGAATATTATCAAATCACAGCTTGTGGTTGGGCCACCAGCATGTTTTTGCGGAGAACATCTAATATTATCTGAATTACATAAAAGGAGCAGTTACTTCATGTGTAAAGAGACGTGGTGGCACTGAACGACTTAAGACACTATCAAGTTACTTGAATTTCGAATATGGTAAAATGTACATGTAATTGGCATCATACATTAAAATCGAACAAGTACCAATGAGCTTAGAAAAAATAGCAAAATGCAATAATTTACTTCAAAAGAATGTTCAATGAAGAATTGTCTAGTGCTACATCCGAATCATACAAAAGGTCACCTGGAGTAATTAATTGAAGTTCTTCACATGTAGAGATGTTTGATAACACCAGACGACTTGAAGAGTTTCGCGGGCATGGTAATTTGACGTTGCGTTAACGTTGAGTAGTGTTTAAGAACTTAAAAAAAGCAGCAAACACACAGTGAATGCGAAATATTTATTCTTGTCGTTGCATTCAAGAAACGTATTATTTACGCATGTCAAAGTTAAAAAAGTAATGATACTGATACGCTTCAAAAAAGTTATACACAGGTAAAAATATTATATTTTAAAATAAGTATTATAATTATTAAATATGTTAGACTGCATGATATTAACAAAACTTTGTCTTTAAAATCACAAGAAACCTGTCTTCATGGATATTGATACCAAGATAGAAGATAATCACACACTAGTTGGAGTTTGCTTAGTGCATTAGTTAATTGTTTATTTTATTCAATATCGAATTTTCAAGTATCAATTTTTTTGTATGCTAATTTGTTTTTTGTCATTTAGCATTTTTTTTTGTTGTATTTGTTCAACTTTATCCACGACTATATCTTTTGCACGATATCCAGATGTTATACGTATTTCAAGTTTTATTACATCCTGCTTATATATATTGTTTATTCGTTGTATACCAATATTATAGCATTCCAATAACTGATAAAAACCTTGACTATTATTTTGCGTTGTATATTTAAATAAAGAATGAGAAGAACTAAAAGATTCTTGTAGTTGATTAATGAGTCGCCACAAAGCTTCTTTCCGTGATTTAATATTATGCCTGTTACCGTTACAAATTAGATGATCATTACCAATATATTTACTTAATAAAAGATTTAATTGATCTCTTTCAGTTTGAACTGTGTATTTTCAAATCTTCAAAATTTTTAAGTCTTCCTCCAATATTCTGTTTTATATACTTCACACCAAATATTTCTAATACTTCATCAAAAGTAAAATAATGCCCTGGTTGTGTTAAATTGATTGATTGATGAAACATAATTTAATAATTCTGCTAATAGTGAATCTTTTTGAATAGCAGATAATAAAAAGTTACAAATTGTGCATAATTACTATGTCCAGCAACAGGAAATAATGGTGCAAAAGCAACCAAGCTTTCTAATTGCATTTTATGATTGCTATATCAAATTCCAAATTTATGATTTAGCCAAATTCCTGCTCATTTAAAAATAAAAGTCATACTTTCAAAATATTATTTTTACTATACCAAATATTCTGTATTGATATATTATTATTCTGCTTATATTTAGTTATTGCTAGTTCCAATACTCTACATATAGCAGAATAATCAACTACCTTTTTCAATTTTTCTAAAAAATATACTCCAAGACTTGCAGCAAATTGAAATATTTCATATTCTGAAAATATAACAATAAGTATACTATACATATTTTTATAAGTATGTCAAGCTCCTAACAAAAATTGAAATTCAGAATGAGAATCATGTAATAGATTTAAGTGATGAAAAATTACTTCATTTTCAACTAATATAAGATTTTTTAAAGTTTCAAGTTCAATATCATCAAAATACAGAGATCTTCCAGAATATTGTGGATACTTTTTAAAATACAATAACGCAAAACTAATAAAAAACAAGATTTATAATTCTAAGCTAATAAAATCATTGAAACTTATTGAATATTATATCACAATTGCAAGTAATTTCAATAATTAGTTCAAAATATATATATAAAGATATATAAAATAAAATTTAGTATCAAACTGAAATTTATGTGAAAAAATATTATTTTACAAAAATGCAAATAACTTCGCATCTAGTAAATCAAATTAAATGAACTTTTATCTATAAATTCTTCAAGATAAGACGTATTTAATGATATCAAAATCATTCAATTTGGATTACTAGATACAAAGATATCACGTCTCAAAGATAATGTACCAAACTGGAATAAATATTTTGAAGAAAATAGTTTTTTGTGAATATCTTCGCATACAATTAACCAAATTAGTTAATTTTGATATCATCAGATTTGCCTTGTTTATGTGAATCTAGTGATATCAAAATCATTCAATTTGATCCACTGGATGCAGAGATATTTTGGAAAAATGAATTTCTTTAAAATTTTCTTTAAAATATTTTTTTACCCTGATTTTTGTATAGTATTTTGAGACATTATATCTCTGTATTTGGTGATTCAAATTATAATTTTGATATCATTAGATGCATCTTAACTTGGTGAATCTGGTAATATAAAATTATTTAATTTGGTTTACTGGATATGAAGATATTTGCATATTTATAAAATAGAATAATTTTTTTCACATAAATTTTCAGTTTGATACTAAATTATATTTTTTATATTTATATATATATATTGAACTAATTATTGAAATTACTTGCAATTTTGATACAATTTACAATAAGTTTTAATGATTTTATTAGCTTAGAATTATAAATCTTGTTTTTTTATTAGTTTTTGCATTATTATATTTTAAAAAGTGTTCACAATATTCTGGGAGATCTCTATATATATTTGTATTATTACAAAAATTATTTCAGATTATAAAATTACAACATTTGTTAAAGATAAATTATATTTTATTTCAACTTCATTTTTAATTCTAATAATATATTATATTTGTCAAATTTTACTTCTTGTATTCTATTAAATTATTAATAATATTTTCAAATTTTACTAGTTACTAATTTTAACTTAACAGATATTTATAATGAATTAAGAAAAAAATGTTCAAATAGAATAAAATGTAGCTTTATCAAATATTATAAACTTGAAACCAGAAATAATTCTTGTAATAATGAAAATGTTCATAATGCAGTCAAAATATATTTTCAAGATATTGATTTAAATAATTTAGGCTATTTAGATATTACTTCAGATAAGACTATTTTTCAATGATTAAATATTTTACATGAAATAAATTCAGAAATATGACTTTTACTTGGAGCTTGGTATACCAATAAATATATATATATATATGCAACTTTACTTGTAGCTTTTTCAGGATATGAAATCTATAAACTTGTAGCAGTTCTTGGAGTTTGCTATTTTGATAAATTAGAAAAAGTTGTTAATTATACAGCAACTTGTTGAGTTCTAGAACTAATCTGGGTGACTGTAGGAATTGCTATTACTCAACATATCAAAAAACAAAATATAATAATGGAGAATACACTTTATAGTCAAAATAACATATTAAAAGTGTGATATTTATATTTTTATTAGACTAGTTTCTAAATTGGTCATAAACTAGAAATCAGATTTGGTAATTATGACATGCAAATAGAGAATTTAGCAGTTTTTATGCCACTATTTCCTGTGGTGAGTAGAAGTAATTATGCTCAATCTACAACTTATTATCTTTCTTATATTAAAAGTGATCCTAGTTTAAATGCACTTTTGTATTATGTGTGTTCTGTTAATCTAATTCATGCTGGATATTTCTTTGCTTTCGATAAAGCTTTGAAAATCTTTGGTGTAAAGTATATTAAACAAAATATTGAAAAAAATTTAAAAAATCAAGATGATTTAAAATCACGAATTGCTTCTGTTCAATCTGAACGAGAAAGAATTGATTTATTACTAAGTGAATATGTGTATGATATTCTTTATATGCATAATGATCATAATGTATGATCAAGAAAAGAAACAATGTGAAAACTCTCAAATGAATTACAAGTGGCTTTTGCTCAGCAAGATCCTGTAAAACATGATTTATTTAAAGATACAACACAAAATAATGAACAAGATTTTAAAAGACTTTTTGAGTGTTACAACATTGAGAAAGAAAGATTATATAGTATATATAGACAAGACATTGAAAAATCTGAAGCTAGAATTACAACTGGACGTCAAAAATATGATATAATAACTAATTCAATTTCACAACAAAAAAAAAAAGCAAAAAGTTGAATCAGCAGCATCAGTGACATCTGCATCTTCCAAGTTTCAAAATACTGAAACAACTTTTGAAGAATTTCATGGAGATTTAAATGAATGTGTAGTTATGTGAGAGTTCATATTATTAATATAGATTCAATAAGGTAACATTATAAAATGATCATATGAAAATATTAATCATAATAACAATTTTAACTTTGGTTATAATAGGTAACAAAGACCAAAAATCGAATTTAAAACGCTGGAATTATATTAACATTGGTCTTTTAAGCTTAGGATATAAGTCGTATATTAAATATATCAGATATAAAAATCTGAATCAAGCATTCTTTCATCGATAAGTGTTTTTTACTATATATCTTTCATGTTATATTGTCATTAATAAATTTAATATTAAAATGCTGTCAGAATAGCGACTAGTATTTAATATATTTTTGTAATGTAACATGAGCTTCAAAAAAATTTATTTTGCCAGATATGTATAAATTTCTATAATCAATTTTAATTTTAAAGTTTCAATAATTGGCTAAGTAAATATAACAATGAAATAATAATACAGATATTCTCGAGACAATAGTATGGTCAATGATACAGTTTTCTAATAATCGAGTTGCTGGTTAATATCAAAAAATTATGACTGGATAGTTTAAAAATATAAAGTAAAAACAAGATGATGACTGAGTTGCTAAGTAATATTATTGATTCAAACAATTCAGATCTTGAGGAATCATACACTATCCCCCCCCCGCGGTTATTTTAACAATTGCTCTCATTTGATCGATCGATGTAACGATAAAAATTTACAATGCACGTACATGTACTTCCTGATACCGATACTCAC